TTTTTTTGAGACAGGGTCTCACTCTGCAGTTCAGGCTGACCTTGAGCTCACTTTGTAGCCCAGGCTGGCCTCCAACTCGCAACGATCCTCCTGCCTCAGCCTCCTGAGTGCTGGGATTACAGACATGCACCACCATACCTGACTTGTCTGTCTTTTTGAGACAGGGTCTTGCTATGCAGTTCAGGCTGGCCTCGAACTCAAAACAATCCTCCTGCCTCAGCCTCCTGAGTGCTGGGATTACAGGCCTGCGCCATCATGCCCCGCTTAGTACTGGGGATTGAAGCAAGGACTTTTGTACTGAGCTATATTCCCAGCCCCTTTAAAACATTTTTTGTTTGTTTGTTTGGAGACAGTTTCCCTAAGTCACGAGGTTGCCCAGACTGGGCTCAAACTTCCAGTTCTCCTGCCTCAGCCTCCCAGAGTGCTAAGGACTGTAGACATGTGCTCCTGAACCCGATAACAGTGGCAGTTTTGGACATGTTGGTTGTTGCATCTACGTGAACTTTTCACAGTCTGTCGCGTGCATGTCTGCTGGCATCTCTTGCACTTCACAGGCGCCTCCTGCCTGTGCGTGCTTTTGTGTCAGTTGCCGTTTCATTGTACAGTACAGGTTGGGAATTTCTGATCCGAGACCCTTGGGACTAGATGTGTCTCAGATTTCAGGTTTTTGGATTTGGGAGCATGTACATAGATTCTACCCTTTAGGCATCCCTAATCTGAAAATTCAAAATGCTCCCAAGTCTGAAACTTTGTGAATACTATTTCAGATTTTGGAGCATTTCAGATTTTTCAGATTAGGGGCTGCTCCGCTTTGTTAAAAAAAATCCACATTCATAAATATCTGCACCCACCTCATCAGAAAAATCTTTTGATTTGGGGGAAATTGTCAAGCCTATCATGGCACATGCAGCTTTTTTAGAATTTTAATTTTTTGCGTAAAAGTTTGAATTTTACCAAGGGCAAAGGATACGGTCAGTTGTTTTTCTTGAAGCAGCAGGTTCACTGCACTGGTTTTGGAGAAAAGGCCGCCAGGATGCCCGAGGCCGAGCATTCCTCGTTCGTCCGTGGGTCATTCTGTCTAGTACAAAAGGCGTCTGTGAATAAGTAGCTGCTGAGCTAGTAACTCAGGTAGCTGTGTAACTCTTACTGCTTCATCAAGGGCTTTTTTTTTTTCTTGGTAGGGCCTCATGCATGCTAGGCAGTTGCTCTGTCACTAAGGTACATCTCCAGTCTTCCTTAATTTTGAGATAAGGTTTTGGCTGAATTGTCCAAGTTGGCCTCAAATTCAAAATCCTCCTGCCTCAGCCTCCCAAGTGACTGAGATTACAGGCGTGTGCCACCATGTCTGGCTCATCAAAGGCATTCTTGAGTGAAATTGGCTTTTTTCCAAACACTCCGAGTGTGTACAAGTAGGAAAAGGCTGTTGGTTTGGTGCCGCTGTCTGGATTGGTGCTGAGGCACCAGCAGTTTTACCCGTCAGTGCTTTTGTGTCACCAGTGCAGACGTCAACATGATTCAAAGACAGATTACGTCTTGGTGCTTGTATGAGAACAGTTCTAACCTCACAGACCCTTGGATGCTGCCTCGTGGGCTCATGGGACCCGCCGAGCTTGCTGTGACAACTGGCTCGCAGCCTCCCAGAGTCTGGTCATTTGCATATCATCGGGCACATTCCTCGACCACCTTACTGTTACTAGTCAGTGACTTCTTCAAGTTGGCTCATTTTGTTTTGTCTTTTTGTTTCTGTTTTTTTTCTGGTACCAAGAATCGAACTCATGACCTAGTGCTTGCCAGGCAGGTGCTATGCTGCTGAGCTAAATCCCCAGTCCCTATGTCAGCTTGTTTGGTTTGTTTGTTTTTTTTTTTTTTGGTTTTTCTCTGGTACCGGGAACGACCTTGCGCTTGCCAGGCAGGCGCTTTTGCCGCTGAGCTAAATCCCCAGCCCCTGTCAGCTCGTTTTGAAACATACTTAAGTATGTGCAAGTCAGTGCTATATGACTACCATAAGTCGTGAATCAGTGCCACAGATGAAAGAAAACCCCCAAAGAAGTACAGAATTAGTGATCAACACATACATACGTCCCCGTGCCCCTATAAACCTTAAAGTAACATGACCTGTTTGGGAAACCCTATCCTGGACCCAATACTTCGGGGGCAATCAAGTCCCAAGAAAGAGGGAGGTAAGGAGACCAGAGTGCAGATTTCTGGGCCGCCAGTCTGCTGGTTTACCTGCCCCCACCCAGAAGCCCCTGTGCACAGCCTCCGGAAGGGAGCTGCCCTTGACTGCTGCCATTGGTAGTGTGGGTGCTCAGTTCTTCTGGACTGGGTGGGCAGGGCAGCCTTGTCAGACCTCACTCACCCTCTCCCTGTTCCTCCTGAAAGCCTGTGTCCCTAGAGCCCTGGACTAGGGTTAGGGGTCCATTGCTTCCTTGGAGGAAGAGCTGTGTGAGTACCTCTACTTCCTAATTAGATTCTTTTTTTATTTTTGAGACAGAGTCTCACTATGTAGCCCAGGCAGGCCTGCAACTCATGACGATCCTCCTGCCTCAGGCTCCCAAGTGCTGGGATTGTAGTCTTGCACCACCATGCCTGGCTCTGCCTGAATTCTTAAACCCTTAACCAGGGATACTTTGAAGCCCATTTGTGCAGTGTGGATGTATGAACCGTGGAGTTCAAGCTGAGGATGGGGAACAGGGGTCCCAGGGTCCTTCTCCTTGCTGCTGAGTAGCCCACTTAGGTAGTTGATGAGTAGGGGTCCTTTTCTGTCCGCTCCCCTGAGCTGTTGCAACCTCTCCCCCACTGCATCTAACAGAAAGACAACGTGGAGCTGGTGAAGGCCCTCATTGTGTTTGGGGCAGAAGTGGATACCCCGAATGACTGCGGAGAGACTCCTGCCTTCATAGCCTCCAAGATCAGCAAACGTATGTGCTCCACCCTCCGGGACCAGAGTTGGGTGGAGGTGGCGTGGGGTGCAGGCGCTGAGGGGGAGGGGAGTCCCAGCCATCAGTTGCCGGACCGCCCACCTGCTGCGAGTGGCAGCACCACAGTGGGATCAAGGAGGCCGTGAGCTCCCCACCACACACAGACCCGATGCAGGTTCACCCAAGGCTTCCTGAGCCACAGCCTCTTCCATGCACCCTAATTATCCCATTTCAGGGTGTCAGGCTCCCAGGAGGAGGGGCAGGGTAGGCAGTGGCAGCACAGCCGTGAGTTTGCCAAGTGTCTCACTGCACGAGCTGTGCGCATGCGCTCTGTGCATGACACGCATGTGCATGCGCTACGCCCTTGCCTCGAGCCTGGCTTCAGAGGTGGAAGCAGCAGGACCGTGGGTTCTCCTGAAAGAAGCCTGGAGCCCCTTTGGCGGGTTGTGGGGAGCTGTGGGGGTTACTGCGGAGTGTACCCAGTTGTGAGTCGATGGCCCGGTGCGTATACTGCCCATGTATTAAATGGGATGAGTGCCTGCCAGCTGATTCACTCCTTTCAAACTCTGAAAGGAACTGTCCACTCGGCATTTTGAGAACTGCTGTCCATGGAGGTGGGAGCCCTGCTTCCTTGGCTGGAGTAGAAGGACAGAAAGGACTTCCCAAAAAGCAGACCGTGTGACTCTGCTCTCATCCTCCAGCCATGTCCACCCTCAGCCCCCAGCCCCTGCCCAGAGTCCAGGAGGCTGCCCGGCAGGCTCACGGGTCCACAGGATGGGTCCCTGTGTGCAAGGACAGGCCTCTCACACCGTCTCCACCCTGTGCCGTCTCCCCAATTCATGAAAGTCGTCACGAGGAGGGCGTTCTTGACTCTGCTGAGAACTCTGGGGGCCACCTACAGCCTCCCACCCATCCGAGGGGCCCCCTCAGAGCACGGCTCTGTGGCATCACCTCAACCCTGCTCCCTGGAGAGAGCTCAGCCCCCACCGGTCAGCTTAAGCAGCCTAGGTAGGCCACTCCCTCCCCTGCCCTGCTTCCCCGCTGTGCCAGGCCTTGGACCAAAGCAGTCCTGAGGGAAAGAAATGGGGCCGAGGGTGGGGTGATGAAGTGGGGAAGGGACAAGATCAGCCAGTGCAGGCAGCCAGCGCCTCAGGGATCCCAGAAGCCTTGGGATCCCTGGCGAGGATCCAGGGCCCGTCATGGTCCGAGGGCATTTCCTATAACACTCACGAGATGGGCACTCCTGTGGCCTCTCGTCCCCTGGGGGCTCGGGTAGGCAGCAAGGACGCTGTGAGGGCCTAGTTCCTGCTCTCTGACTTCAGTGCTCACCTTGACTCCGTTGGTGTGAGGCCTGGCACGCCCCCTGCTGGCCCCTTCAGGGACCTGTAAGCTTTTGAATGTTGCCTGGCAATCGGCATTTGCACCCTTGGTGCCCTTGGACACAAGGATGCTTCTCTGGGCTTTCTGTGGCCTGACCCACCTAGGAACCAAGGCTGTTTTTGAAGTGGGGCCCCTAAATACAGGGCACATCGCAGAAGGCAGACTCCACCCCGTCAAGCCAAGGTTGCTCCCATGAGGCAGAGCAGAAGCCACCTCTCTCTCTGCCCACCCCCATCTTTGTGTTTCCGTTTTACAGGCAGGCAGTCACCCAAGCCAGGCTGGACAGTGGGCCTGGGGCGCGTTGGCTGATGGGTAATGCTTAAGCCTAGAGAGGCCACTGAGCCCAGCCCTGCGGCATATTAGTTCTAGTCTTGTCTCCTCCCCTGCGCTTCTTGGCTGTGCACGCAGACACATGCATCTTCCCCACCCCCTCCCTGGCACTATCTGCTGCTCCTCCCAGCTGGTCTCCCTCTCTCTGTGCCCATTCTGGGGCCATGCGCCTAGCAAGGGAGTCTGCTCCGCAGCCTGCCCGCCTCGATGCCTCTGGCCTCCTCACGGTGGTGGGTGGGATGTTGGGGCAGAATCACAGGGCTGCTGGGCCAGGCATGTGGGGCTACGCTGCTTGTCAGGTGGGCATGGTGGGCCTTGGGCACAGAGGAAGGCTGCACGGTAGGGGGATGGGCCTGAGCCTAGAGGCCACCGAAGAGGTTTTCAGCCTGGGGACCAGGACATGAGCACAGTCTCCCTTTGTTCATGGAGCTCAGCCCTGAGCAGTGTCCTCACCCAGCCTTAGAGTAACCTTAGACGGTCATGAGCTTCCTGGAGCCCTGTGGAGCCTGCCCTACCATCAGTCAGGTGTAGTGATTCCTACCCCGAAGGGCGGTTGTTAGAGCATCTGTGCCGATGGAGGGAGGAACGCCCGGTGTACAGCAGACCCGGGGTGTGGTGGGTGTTTACGCCTGGGGATCAGGAGGAAGATACTGAGGATCTGGGAGTTGGGGAGGTGGCCTGGGAGTGCTTCCTAGGGCAGCCCCACCCCTAGCCCACGCCTGGGGATCAGGAGGAAGATACTGAGGATCTGGGAGTTGGGGAGGTGGCCTGGGAGTGCTTCCTAGGGCAGCCCCACCCCTAGCCCACTTCTCTTCCCTAGAGGCTTGTGGCCTGCTCACCTTTATCCTGGAGCACAGAGCCCCTCCTGGAGCAGATGACGGGGCAGTGGGGCGGTGACTCAGCTCCAGATTTGTTCTAGGGTTCCCAGGGACGCTGGTCAGGGCCCTCCTGGCCTAGCGCCCCTGCCCTGTGCCTTGCAGAGCTGCAGGACCTCGTGCATGTCTCCCGCGCCCGGAAGCCGCCCTTCCTCCTGAGCTCCATGAGGGACGAGAAGCGGATGTAAGTGGTGCAAGGGCAGAGCTGGGCTGCCCAGCCTTGCCCAGAGGGCTTGGGCTTTTACCTGCTTCCTACCATGCCCCATGAGGCAGCCCTTCTCCTCATTATGCAGTTCACACAGTTGATGGCAGAGAACAAGTCCCTGGGGACTGTGATGGCTCCTTCATCTGTGACAGCCAGTGGCAGCTCTTGGGACCAGTGCTGGGAGCTCTAGGCCCCACCTCTTCCCCCGATGTCATGGGATAGAGGAGGGTGTGGTCCCTGGGACCCCTCGGTGGGAGATACTGCACTCCACCTAGCCTCCCCACACACCTTCCTCTGCAGATCGCAAACTGTCCCCTAGGCAGGCCTAGTGGGGGGCAGAGGGTAAGCCCAAGCCTGCCCCTGACTGAAGGCGGCAAGTTGAAGGACAGAGGAGTTGCTGGCCCACTGTTCTTGCTTGCAGCTTCCCAGGTAGGAATGGTAACCAGGCTTTGCAGAGGCAGGGCCTGAGGCCTGAGAGCCGACTGACTCAGAGCAAGGTGTTCCCACTCCATGTGCTTTCTGCTGCCCGCCTTGTGGGGAACGCGCTCTTCCCATATCAGAGGCAACCCCTGCTCTCAGGCCCGCCCAGGCAGCCAGATCCCACTCTTCTTTCTGACTGCCCCCACTTGCCTGAGGTATCAGAGCCCGTGGCAACCCATTCATTTCTGTGGTCACCCATTGTGTGTGCTCAGGAGGCGCCTGTGCCCCATCTGCTTTGGGTATCCCTGCATGCCAGTGTGTGTGCACATGAACACAGCACAGGGCCCAGGTAAGGCAGCTGTCCCTGTGGAGGACAGCGAGCCCTGGACCCTCCAGCTGACCTCTCGGGAGAGTCTGGCTTGTTTGAGCTGGGCTTCTAGGCCAGGGCTGCAGGCCTCCCCTGCCACCCTCTGGGCTGCCAAGCGGCTGGGTACCCAGGAGAAGGCCCTGAAGTGGAGTACACAGGCCTCTTCTGTGATCAGCTGTCTGTGTCCCGTGGACATCCGGCCCCGCCCTTGAGGCAGTGCTAGACCTGATGGGGGCTGAGAGTGACCGCTCACGTGGTGGTGGCAGCCATCGCAAGGCAGGGCAGGGCAGCCGTGCTGCAGGACCCGCTGGCCTGGTGCCAGCTTCTTGCAGCAGAGTCCAGCCGGGGTGGAGAGGCAAGAAGGAGCTGGAAGGCAGGACTGAGCACACACTGTGCAAGTGTCCTCTTGGAGCCTCCAGGAGAGCAGGACTGGCAGGCTGTGCCACCTTGAGGGCTAGGCTGAGCAGGACCTGGAGTGCCAGCCCTGCATCACCAGCTGTGTGATTTCGTGCCAATCCTGACTCCTGGGCTTCCTTCCTTCACTTAGAGATGGGCTTATGCTTAGCAGGACTGTCCTCCTAGAGTTAATGTTGGTGACTCTGTCCTACTCCTGGCCACAGAGACCTTGCCTCCCTGCCTCTCCCACCCTGCGTGGAGGCCGTGACCCCCTCACCGCCAGTCTTGGCCTGGCTGTGGGGAACCAGCCCTTCCTCCTGGGCCTGTCTGCTTGCAGCAGGCTTTCATTGGACACTTGTACTGGGTGAGCCTGGAACTGACCCACATGGGGCTGCTGTCCTCAGAGACAGGGAGGCCAACGTGGGGTGTTCCACAGCGCCTGCTTGCCAAGGCGCCCCAGCTCCTCTCCCCTGCCACCCCCTGAAACACTGCTTTATTCCTTCACCCCCACAGCATGTAGGTAGGCTCCATGGCAAGCTCGGATGGCTCTGTCATGCCCCGGCCAGGGTGCAGATGCTCGGGGGACAGGGACGGAGAGCGCACAGGGCATGAGTGCTGGCAGTCAAGGGAGCCCGCTCACTCCTGCCGCTGTGCTCACTGCAGCCACGACCACCTGCTCTGCCTGGACGGAGGAGGCGTGAAAGGCCTGGTCATCATCCAGCTCCTCATTGCCATCGAGAAGGCCTCAGGTGTGGCCACCAAGGACCTCTTTGACTGGGTGGCAGGCACCAGCACAGGCGGCATCCTGGCCCTGGCCATTCTGCACAGTGAGTGCAGCCCCTGGGGGGCGAGCAGGGCAGGGTGGGGTGAGATCCCCTCAAGGGGCTGAGCTTGTTTGCAGAGCTTTGTGGAAAGGGGGCAATGGAGCCGGACGTGGTAGTGCATACGTGTAATCCCAACACTCAGGAGGTTGAAGCAGGAGGATCACCATGAGTTCAAGACCAGCCTGGACTATGTAGCAATACCCTATCTCAAAAAAGAAAGAAATGGAAAGAAGGAGGGAAGGAGAGAGTGGATAAAGGGTTAGCGCAGGGCCTGTGTGTCCTTCGTGGGGGCTGTAGGTTTTGGGGTCCCTGCTGGAGGGAACAAGATGGGGCGGTAGGCACACACTCCGTGGCAGAGGTAGCACAGGCAGCATCAGTGGTCTGGACGCTGCCCCTCCACACACAGCACCCTGGGCTTCGCCCCCCACCCCCGCAGCACATGGGAGGTCGCTTGGATGTTGGCAGGAGCAGGAGGGCTGGAGGTTGAGAGGATACCGAGTACCGGAATGCCACAGCCCTGGTCTGCATGCTTGTTCACCCAGGAGGTCAAGGCCCTAGGTGGGAAGGGTGGCCCAGCTTGCTTGGGCCAGAGCTGTCCCTCAGACTCCGGCCAGCGGGTCATAGGCCCCTGAGCCCGCTTCCTTCTGTCCAGCCTTGGCGAGGTGCAAGGCTCTTGGCCTACTGGGTAGCCAGCGTCTCGGCACACATGGCCTCTCTGCATCAGCCTTGGCCTCTGGGTCCCCAGCTGGTGACCTCTTGCCTAGTGCTGGTCAGATTGCATTTTCCCCAAAGCACTTTGCAAACCTGGTTCCTAGTGATCAAAGTTGTGGTAACCGGGGGAGGGTTCCCCTCACTCAGAGGCCTTTGCAGGGGGTCTGGGGCGTGAGGCCCATGCTGGGGCTGGAGGGCAGAGTGGATGGGGACACAGGCATCTGGGCATTTGCTGGGCTGTGTGAAGAGCAAGTGCCAGGCAAGGCAGGGGGCCGCAGGGCCTAGACACGTGTGCCGAGAGCAGCATCCCGTGGGGGGAGGGGAGGGGAGGCCATCGGGTGCAAGTGGCAGGGGACTTCGTTACCCGCAGCAGTGTGTTGACAGGTACTTCATTTCATTTTGAGGATTCTCCCTGGAGCCCTATGAGGTGAGCAGCTGGGGACCCTGAGGACCAGAAGGGGTCACCCAGTGAGTCAGGGCCTGGCCAGGCCTCTGTCCAGAGTCTGTGCGGCTCTCTCCCTGGGCCTTGGGGGTCCTGTGTCCTCCCTGATTGTCTAGGAACCTGGGCCAGAAAGGCAGAAAATCTGGGTGGGTGCCATGGGCAGGAGTCCCGGCCTCCTAGAAAAGTTACCTCCTCTTTGGGGGACTGGTTTCTCCCGCTAAGGTCTTCACCTCCAGGCACTGTGGCAGGCGTTGGGAAGTCACCTTGTGCCCTCCGCTTGCACACCCCTGGCATGGGGAACCCATTGCTCCCAGGCAGCCGGGCAGGTACACACGCACAGGGCTGTTCCTTCCCTGCTGGGACACATGAGTAATCTGGGTTTTACACACTTTTATACTCCCAGGGCCCTTTTTTAAGGGAAATAATACAAAATGATGAATACAGAACTAGGCACACAGAGCCTTGGGTCTGTGGGAAGGGCCCTGCCCATGTGGGAAGCTGGCATCCAAAGGTGTTAAGCTTAGGGAAGGTCATCCCTTGGGTGGCCCTGCCCTCTGTGGCCCCCAGCTAGTGCTGGCCCAGTGTCCCCTCCCTGCCAGGGGGCCCCCAAGTGGTACTGGTCTCCCCAGCAACCCCTCTCCTCTTCCTAGGCAAGTCCATGGCCTACATGCGAGGCCTTTACTTCCGTATGAAGGACGAGGTGTTCCGGGGCTCTCGGCCCTACGAGTCAGGGCCCCTGGAGGAGTTCCTGAAGCGGGAGTTTGGGGAGCACACCAAGATGACGGATGTCAAGAAGCCCAAGTAAGCCCCTCATCTCCACCATGCATGCTGTCCTGGGAGGCCCTTTGAGCTCCCCATTTCCACAAAGGGCTTCTCTGGAGGATGGGGAGGGGGGCAGAGGACCCAAAATTGGCAGCAGGCACCCAAGGGCAGAGGAGAGGTGACCCCAAGGGCCTGGCTCTGCCGCCCGCCAGGGCCTGGGCTGCTTCCCTGCTGTGAGGCCGGCTGCACTGAGGCTGCACACCCCGAGCCCGGCACAGTACACAGAGGCTGCTTCTCATACCTCACACAGCACTGGGGAGATCAGAATCAGGCAGCTTTGGCCAAGCCTGTAATTTTTGTTTTTTTGTTTGAGACAGGGCCTATGTAGTTCAGGCTGGCCTTGAACTCACTGCATAGCCCAGATTGGCCTCAGACTCATGATGATCCTTCCGCCTCAGCCTCCTAAGTGCTGGAATTACAGGTGTGCACCCCCATACCCGGCACCCATGCCTATAATTTAAGGCAGACAAACTTGAACTTGTGCAAGTCAGGCAGGGCTTAGAGCGGTGAATCATGTGGGCACCAGGCATTGGTTTGGGGGTGCACAACCGAGGACAGTCATCCCGGGCTGGAGAGATGGGTGTCACTTGGTGCCTGTCAGATGCAGACCCCCTTCTGTGAGCTCTGCGCCCTGGGGAGGGGTACTCTGGGCATCCTCTCCTTAGTGGGTGGGGGTCCCACATCCACAAATGCCGATTCCCCGGAGCTCAGCCCTTTGTGCTGGCAGAAACTTCTTGCAGTCTGCACAGCCTTCTGAGGCCTGGAGTGGTAGCATCTCATTCCCAAGGCGAGGGTGCGTGTGTGTCCATGGCCATACTAGTAAGGCAGCAGTCACCACTGACATTTGCCTGGTGCTGTGGCCACCCACCCAGCCTGGCCAGGGCTGTTCGTGTCCAGCTCACATCGGGACCTCCCTGTCCTACAGCCGGATCAGGGGTGCAGCTGGCAGACAAAAGGCTGGGAGCTGTGCACAGCCCAGCTGGGAGGGACCCGGGCAGCCAGGGCCTCCGGACTGGGACGTTCCAGCAGGGCCGCAGGTACTGGCCTGCTGCAGAGCAGCCACAGACAGGGTCCCTTGGCTGGCTGCCTGGGGTCAAAAGGAGGGAGCAGACCAAGGACGAAGTGGTCAAGGAGGGTGGCCTGCAGTGTGAGCCAGGCCCCCAACTCCCGAGGGCCAGGAAGATAATAGGGCTGATTTCATAAGAAAGCTTTTATTATTTTTTTTCTCCATTTTAGGGAAAAAAAACAGTCTTCAAGAAAAATTGGATAATACAGAAATTGAAAAAGAACAGCTTATTAACCAGAAAGATAATTTAAAAAATTTTTAGAAATCTTATCCTGGATATTTCTTTCTTATAGTGAAATGGAATATATATTCTTTAAAGTACATATACAAAGCTGGGCATAGTGGCAGCACTCGGGAGACTGAGGCAGGAGGATCGCTGCACGTTCAAGGCCAGCCTGAACTACATAATGAGACGTCCTAAAAAAAACACACGCACAGATTAGTGAATATTTATAAAGAAAACATCCCTATAACCCTGAAACCAGCTCAGAGCCCCACCCTGTCACAGCTCTGTCCCACGCATCCAGGGCAGGAGCTCTCCCGAAGCACGGAGCAGACTCCTGGCTTTTCTGGACCGTTTGTTTGCCCACAGATGTACCAGGAGCAGCGTGGCTAGGTCTGCTGCTCTGGGCGTGGATGGAATCGGTTTGTGCCATCTGTCGCCCACCATATCACCCTTGTCAGTGTCCTTTTTGCTGTGTCACTCAGTGCCCCTCCTCTGGTGGAGTCCATCTTGTCCACAGGCCCCGAGGTTGGCTTCTCCAAGCACCTGTGATAGCCGTTCAGGCCGCTTTGTTTGGGTTTTGCAGGAGTTCTATGTAGAACACTTGAGTTTGCTTTCTTTTTTGTATGATACTAGGGATTGAACCCAGCCCTTCCCACTGAGCTGTGTCCTCAGTCCTGTTTTATTATTTTTTTTTTATTTTGAGACAGGGTCTTGCTAAATTGCTGTGTTGCCCAGGCTGGGCTCAAACTGGCAGTCTTCCTGCCTCAGCCTCCCAGAGGACAGGGGTTACGAGCGTGCACCACCATGTCTGGCTGTGCCTGCTCTGTGGCTTTCGTGTGTATGAATTTCTCTGAGGCACACATCTAGATGCAAAATCACTGAGTCCCTGAGGAAGCAGAGCTTGCTTTACAGTGGTCCCTCAGTTCATGAACTGAGTTCTTCCAGGATTCTGGTCACAAACTGAATTGGACAAGAACCAAATCAAATTCAGTGGTTAGGTTCCCTGTTGACCTTATGGGGAAATTTGATTTGGTTCTCGTCCAATTTGGTTTACAACCAGAATTGTGGAAAGAAGTTTGTGAACCGAGGCACCGCTGTACTTAGCATCATGCCAGGTTCATCCATGCTGTAGCAAGTGTCAGAGTCTCCTCCCTTTTTAAGGCTGATCTATACCCATTGCGTGGATACCCTGTTGTTTTGTGTATCCATCCGTCCGTCAATGGACACTGTGGGTCACTTCCGCCTTTCGGCTGTTGTGAGTAATGCGGCTGAGAGCACAGCTGTGCAAATACCTGTTCACATTGCTGCTTTCACTTCCTGGTACCTTTTGTAGAGCAACTTCTGATGCGTTCTGTTTACTAATACTTTGTTTAGAAGTTCTACCTCTGTATTCATGGGTGGGCTTGACCCGGTCTTTGTGGCTTTGGTTTTTAGGGTGTGTTTCTTCCTTTCTTTTCTGGAGGAGTTAGTATAATAGTGACTTTATTTCTCCTTGGATGTTTGGTAGACCTTGGCAAGAAAGTTGTCTAGGCCCAGAGGTTGCGTAAGGGGAAGACTGATGATTTAATTAATTTCTTTTTATTTTTATTTAATTAATTTCTTTAATGGTTGTGAGGCCAGGGTTTCTCAATGTCTTGAGTTAGTTTTGGTTATGTTTTTCCAGGAATGTGTCCATTTGACCTAAATCCTATTATCTGTCTAGGATCTGCAGCACCCTGCTGTTTTTTTGTTTTCTTGTTTTTGCCTTTTTGAGACAGGGTTTCACTATGGAGCTCAGGCTGGCCTTGAACTCACTTTGTAGCCCAGGCGGGCCTCGAACTCACAGTGATCCTCCTGCCTCAGCCTCCAGAGTGCTGGGATTACAGGCGTGCGCCACCACGCCCGGCAGTACCCCGTTATTCCCCAGCCTTGCACCCCTTCTCCACTGTGTCAGTCTTGCCGCAGGATTTTCAGATGGATTAGCCTTTCAAAACATCAGCTGCTGCCATTTACTGACTATTCTGTTTGCCTTCTGTCTCATTAGTCTTCTGTCTAGCCCTTATCAAAGTCACTTTCTCACTGTTGGGACACATGCCCGATACAGTATGAGGAGGAGAACTTTATTTTGACTCACATTTTGGAAGTTTCAGTCCTTTTGTGGTTGGCAGCATGGTTGAAGGGCTTGGGCGGAGGAAGCAGCTCAGGCGAGGCCGGGGAACTGCGATGCGGAGGGGAGGGCAGGCCCCCCAGGGAGAGCCTCTTCTGGCCAGCCCTGCCTGCTGACAGTCATCTGTGAGCCTCCTAATGCAGTCGCCTCCAGAAGCCCCGCCTGTGAGTCCATGAGGCTGTGGGGGGAACATCTCAGATACAAGTGTAGCACTGCTTCTTATATAATTGTTTTAGAGTTCTTTTTGTTTGTTTGTTTGTTTTGCTCAACTAGGGATTGAGCCTAGGGCCCTCACACTGAAGTATATCCTCAGCCCTTCTGTATTTTTTATTTCAAGATAGGGTCTCTCTTGTTAAGTCTCTAAGTTGCCTAGGCTGGGCTCAAACTTTTGATCCCCCTGCCTCAGCTCCCAAAAGGCTGGGTCTACAAGCGTGCACCATCACACCCAGCCCTGGTTCTTTTCTTAACTTCTTGAAATAAAATGTTTTTCCCATTGATTTTCTTTTTCTGCTCTACATGATGTATATGAGTTGCGTGCCTGGGTGTGTTTGTGTGTACCCTAGTTCTCCCTTATCCACAGGGATAGGTTTTAGGCCCTCAGGGTGTCTGAAACTGTGGACGGTACCCATAGTCAGTATCATGGCAGCCAGGCCAGCAGGACAGCCAGTCTGATAACAGGCAGCGGCGGGAGGGAGGGAGCAGGGCAGCGCAAGATTCATCTCGCTGCTCTGGATAGCACGCAGCTTAGATCTTAGGAATTGTTCATTTTAATATTTTTAGACTGTGGTTGACTATGGGCAGCTGAAGCCACAGAAAGCAAAACTACAGACAAGGGGGACCCTGTAGATAGATCTGCATAGTGTATATATATCGGAATGTTTCTCCTAAATACTGCTTTGATTATATCCTATATATTTATTACTATTCAGGTCAAAAGATTTTCTAATTTTCATTATATTTTCTTTTTTTAACCATAGATTATTGAAATACATTTTTCAGTTTCTAAACTGAAGACATTTTCTGTTTTTCTTATTGTTAATTACTGTGGCCAGAGGACATGATCTGAATCTTTTAAAACTTGCTGAGACCTCATTTGTGGCCTGTTTTAGGTATTTAAAAGAATATGGATTCTGCCTTTGTTGGGTGCTAATAAGTTCTATACTTGCCTGTTAGGCCACACTGGCAAGGAATGCTATTTAAAACTTCCAAATCTTTCATATCCTTATTGATTTTATTCATTTCTTCTATCAATTATGTTTAATTTTTTATTTTATGAAAAAGAAAACAAAGTTCCCTAATCAAATAAGAGAATAACTGTAGTTATTACACTGTATCATCATCTTCAAAGTAGTGAGGGGGCTGGGGATTTAGCTCAGTGGCACAGCACCTGCCTCGCAAGCGCAAGGTCGTGGGTTCGATTCCTGGTACCGGGGGAAAAAAAACAAAAAAAAACAAAAAAAAAAACACAAAGTAGTGAGAGCACAACACATAGACAAAAAAGTTTTTCTATCAGTTACTGAGACTGATAGTGTGGGGGATTTTGTTGCTTTTTTGCTGTTTTGCTACTTTTTACTTTAATAGTTTGATACACTACTATTAATTGTGTATAAATGTAATTTTTGATGTATCCTTCTGGAGCTTGGAACCTTTTATTATTATGAAGTGCCCCTCGTTATCTCTAGGAATGTTCTTTGTCTGAAAGTCCGTGCTGTCTGACCCTAGCATGGTTGCACCAGCTGCTTTGGGCGTTTGCCTCTGGGTCCGTCCTGTAAGTCAGCCTCTCTAGGTCGTTCTGTCCTAGATGTGGCTCCGGCAAAAAGCACGTAGTTGGACTTGTGGTTTGTCTAATCCTTTACTCTTTACTCTGTGTTCGTCCCTGGGCCATTTAACCACTCATAGCTTTTTAATACCTAGTAACAAATGTATTGGAATCAATTCAGTTAAGCCTGATTTAGCTGGTTGGCTCGAGGCGCATGGCCAATGTGTGTTTGACCGCGTTTACATGACGGCCCTTTTAGTTAAGCCACTGCTCTCTTTGGGCCAGCAGATGCCGTCCTATTTTGTTGTGGCTTTTTCTTCTTCTGTTTTTCTTTCTTGCCTTGTTTTGGATTCACTGACTAGGTTTTATCATTATATTCCGCCGTACCCCTAGTAGATAGATATGTATGCAGTCCAGTCTGTGTGGTTTTTTTAGTGTGTGCTAAACTCGTGTGTGTGTGTGTGGTGTGTGTGTGGTATGTGTGTGGGCGTGGTGCGTGCGCATGGTGCTGGGAATGAACCCAGGGCCTAGTGCATGCCAGGCAAGTGCTCTACCACTGACCTCCACCCCCGGCCCACGTGCGTAACTCTAAAAAGCCTACATTTAGTTGATAGTGTTACCCTAGCCTCAGAAAACCAAGCACTAAGTTAAAACACTTAGCTATGCCTTCTTCCATCCTATCAGTAGTTGTTTTTCTGTATTTTAAACCTGCCTTGTTTTTTTAAGCCTCATAGGCATTATTGTTTTTTAATCTGATTCTCATTTAGATCCATCTGGTAAGACCTGCTGTGATGGTAACCGTATCTCGGGGGAAGCCCTGGCTTGTAGTGTTTGCCAATTCCCCTCGTAGGAATGCCTCGACCCCCCGACAACTTCAAGCTACCAGCAGTGCGATGATGAGCTTGTGAAATTTGCCAATAGGGGCTGGGTATTTAGCTCAGCGGCACAGCACCTGCCTGGCAAGCGCGAGGTCGTGAGTTTGATTCCTGATACCAGAAAGAAAACCAAAAAAACAAAAAAACTGAGATTTGCCAATAGGTTCTTTTTTTTTTAGCTTTTTTTCTGGTACCGGGAATCAAACTCATGACCTCGCGCTTGCCAGGCAGGTGCTGTGCCGCTGAGCTAAATACCCATCCCCCACCAATAGGTTCTTACGAGTCGATACAAGCTGACTGCTCGGTGCCTGTGTATCTGCTTGTGCGCATATGTGTGCGTGTGTGTGCATGTGCGTGTGTGCGTGCGTGCGTGTAACTTCTTTGCTCTACATTCTTCTTGCATATTACACGTCCATCCTGCTCCTTTTCTTTCTGCCTATAGTGCACTCTTTTTACTTTCCCTTAGGGCGGGTCTGCTGTTGGTAAATTCTCCACTGGAATTGTTTGAAAATAGCCTAATTTCATGTCATCGCTTGAAAATTGTTTCATTTCACTTTTATTTATGCTCACTGTAAAATTCTAGCCTGGGATTTTGATTTTCTCAAGAATATGTAAAATACCTTTCTACCATCTCTTAATGTTGTTGCACCTAAACTCCACTTAGTCAGGGTCTCCTTTCCAGGTGATGGGCCTCTGCTCTCTGGACGCCTTTGTTTATCGTTTTGATCTCTACATTTACACTGTGCTGTATCTAGATAGGGATTTCTTCTCATGTGCCCAGCATAGAATTTGTTGGTCTTTTTGAATGTTGGGGTTTGGGTGGGGATTGAACGCAGGGATTCACCCATGCTGGCCAAGGGCTCTGCCACCAAGCAGCTCTTTTCATGGTTGTTTATTTTGAAACAAAATCTCAGTAAGTGCCTACGATGGCCTCAGACTTCTGATCCTCCTGACTCAGCTTCCCTTTTTCTTTTCTTCCATAGAGGTGTTTTTTTTTTTTGTCTTTTTGAGGCAGGGTCTCAATATGCAGTTCAGGCTGGCCTTGAGCTCACTTTGTAGCCCAGGCTGGTTTCAAAAACTCCCAACAAGAGCTGGGCATGGTGGTGCACACTTGTACTCCCAGCACTTGGTAGGCTGAGGCAGGAGGATCGTTACGAGTTTGAGGCCATCCTGGGCTACAAAGTGAGCTCAAGGCCAGCCTGAACTGCATAGTGAGATCCTGTTTCAAAAAGACAAAAAAACAAACAAACTCACAATGATCCTCCTGCCTCAGCCTCCCAAGTGCTGAGATTACAGGCGTGGGTCACCACGCCCGGATCTTCCACAGTTTTTCCTTTTTTTTGAGACAGGGTCTTACTGCATAGTGTAGGCTGGCCTGGAACTCATGGTGGTCCTCCTACCTCAGCTTCCTGAGTGCCAGGATTACAGTCATGTGCCACCATACCTGTTTTTTTTTTTTTTTTTTTTTTTTTTCTTTTTGAGACAGGGTTTTGCTATGTGGTTTGTGCAGGCTGGTCTTGAACTTGCAGCAACCCTCCTGCCTCAGACTCCTGAGTGCTGGGATTAAAGGCATGTGCCGCCATGCCTGGCTGCTTTTCTTTCCTTTTTTTTTTTTTTTTTTACAGTTTAACAGATAACTCCATGTTACTCTGAACTCCCTGTCAGCATAACTTTGATCAGTTGCAAAACATGTCACTATTCACCCCTTCTGTTGTTCCAGTTATGTTTTTTACAGTAATAAACTACATTGCAGTGAATAGCCCTATACAGTAATCTTTCATTTTATTTAAGATTACTCAAAGATGGAGTTGTGAGAATTTTGATACGTGCTGGCTTCCGAGGGGCCACGCCAGCAGTGCTTAGGGTATCCATGTCTCTCAAGATAAATAGGAGTCTTCTTTAATAGGCTAGCGACTCACATGGCAAGAAGGCAGGAAAGGTATCAGAGGCCACATGGACAGAAGTCTCCTCCCACCCCACCTGGAGCGGGAGTCCCCACCCCAAAGCCAGCTCCCTGTCGCTGGTGCCCCAGGGGCCCTTTCAGAGTGCTGTCACACATGTGGCCTGCTGAGTGCCGTGTCCCACACCTCGCTGATGCTCGTGGACACACGCCTTGTTCCCACGCACTGACACAGAAGTCCTGCCTGGCCAGGGTCACTCTTCAAGACCCAGCGCATGGGCAGGGCAGGCGGCCGCAGAGCACTGGACGGTCCACCGGCAGATACTGAGCTGCTCCCAGGCATTTGCTTTGGTAGCACACGCAGCTTTGTAGGGTGAGTTCCCAGAAGGGATCTCTGGAAGGCCGAGCCATCAATGTGGGAGCGAAGTTTGCCGCGATGCCTGAGCGAGGCCAACGCGCTTTCCAGTCCATCACCCCGGCCCTGCAGGATTCAGGGCTGTGGGATGGGGGCGAGAGTGCTGGGCAAGGGGATGGTGGCCGGGTGGGTGGGTCAGCCGCCCTCCTTCCTTGCCTGTCCCCAGGGTGATGCTGACTGGGACACTGTCTGACCGGCAGCCGCCCGAGCTCCACCTCTTCCGGAATTATGAAGCCCCAGAGGCCTTCCGGGAGCCTCACATCGGCCAGAACGTTAACCTGAAGCCTCCAGCTCATCCCTCAGGTGAAAATCCCGTCTGTGTGTCTGTGGGAAGCAACTGGCCTGGGCACCGTGAACAGTGGGCGGAAGTTGCAGGTCCCCCTCAGCCTTCCAAGTTGCCTTGGTTTCGGATGGCTGAGGACAGACGTTGATGGGGCCTCGGCTTTGGCCAGCTAGAGGACGCCCGAGGTCCCCAGCGGCACTCCCCCTTCCAAAGGACAGAGGGGCACAGTGGCATGGCCTGGAGCGCTTGCCTCTGAGACTTCGCAGACCAGCCAAGCGAGGTGGCGTACACCTGCAGTCCCAGCACTCTGGGAGGCTGAGGCGGGAGGATTGAAAGTCTGAGCCCAACCCGGGCAACTTAGCAACTTAATGAGACCCTGACTCAAAATAAAAAAGCTCTAAGGGATATAGCTCTATGTGAAAACCTTGAGTTCAGTTGCCAGTACTGCCAAAAAAAAAGAGTTCCCAGACTTTCTCTCTTCCTGCACTGCCCCTCAGTGCATCCCCTGGGATCTGAAGCACAAGGTCTTATACCCGTCCCTTGTGTCACTGGGCTACCTTCTCCCCCAACTCCAGAGCAGCTGGTGTGGCGGGCGGCCCGCAGCAGCGGGGCAGCCCCCACCTACTTCCGGCCCAACGGGCGCTTCCTGGATGGCGGGTTGCTGGCCAACAACCCCACGCTGGATGCCATGACCGAGATCCATGAGTACAACCAGGACCTGATCCGCAAGGTGAGAGCCGCGTCAGGTGAGGAGCTGGGAATGAGTGTGTGCCCAGACAGTCACCCAGGACAGCACGGGTGACACTTGTCTGGTGCTGCAGCCCACACGCGCTCTGCCCCTCGATCCCGGCAGGTGCTAAGAGCGAGTCCTAAGAGCGAGTCCAGGCACTGTCTGCGCTGCATGCCAGAGAGTGCTGGGTGGGCTCACAGCACCTGCAGACGGTGCGGAGGGCAGCGCGCATGCCCAGATACGCCACTCTGCCCAGGAGGGGACACATGCTTGCTCAGAGCGTGCTCTGGCAGGGACATGGTCTCTTAGTGTCCCCAGCAGCTATGCGGGGCCAGTAGGAAAGGAGTCTTTGCTTTGAGGCCTGGGGACCCATCCTGAGGCCCTTGGGGACAGGGTGGCACAGAGTCGGTGGCCCCCTGCTGAGGGAGGCAGCCTGCCTGGTCTTCCACCGTCCAGCTGCCAACGGGGGACAGGGACAGTGCCTACCCTGGCTGCTAAGGACTCGGTGGCCACGGCCTGGGAAGTACTGGCAGGGTGGGCATCCTGAGGGTTCAGACCTACGTCTGTTCAGTGAAGCTCCTGTTAAGGTGGGAGCCTGGCTCCCAGCGTGGATCACCCAGCAGGAGTATCAAGGTCACCCAGCAGATCAGCTGCAGAGAGTTCGTTGAACAAATGCCAGGTGGACCCCAGACCCTGGGTTTAGGTCTCAGCCCCCATCTCCCACAGTGTGGCAGGGGGGTGGGGGGGACACCTCTTCCCAGTCTGTCCCAGCTGGCTGAGAGTCCCAGTTGTGCAGCACGGTGGTCACACCCTTTCTGCACACTGCCGGGAGAGTTAGTGAGATCATGGTGTAAACACCTGTAAACAGCAGAGACCAAGGAACGTTGCTGCCCTCCCTTCCCTGGCCTGACCTTGAACCATGCCTCAGCTCAGGGGCTGGCAGGAGTGCGCACAGCCGGCGGGGTGAGGCCTTGTTGTTATACGCGGGGTTTCCTAAGAGGACAGGGTAACATCACTGCAGCCCTTGTGCAAGGGGGTTGGGGGCTGCTGCTCGGGCACAGCCAGGCCCCACCTGCAGGGGCTGGCCAGGAGCAGTGCCCAGGTCTGCCCAGGTCCTCTGGCCTCTTCTCCATCTGTGATGCCTCTGTGCCCAGCCCTGTCCTCTCTCTGACTCCCCGGGGTGCACCCACCCATGGCGGGTCCCCTCAGCTGTCCTGTCCTCCTCCCTGCAGGGTCAGGGCAGCAAGGTGAAGAAACTCTCCATCGTGGTCTCTCTGGGCACAGGGCGGTCTCCTCAGGTGCCTGTGACCTGTGTGGATGTCTTCCGCCCCAGCAACCCCTGGGAACTGGCCAAGACCGTTTTTGGAGCCAAGGAACTGGGCAAGATGGTGGTGGACTGTGTGAGTCTGGGCCCTGCCTCCAGCCTGCCCCCTCAGGGTCTCTAGCCAGGACTGCCCCCTCCGGCCTCTCCCTGGGGTTCAGTCTAGAACTGCCAAGCCTCCTGAGCTAGCTGCAGGCATCGGGTCCCCAGAGCAGCATCTAAGTGATGTCGCCGGCCCCCTGCTGCCATAGTGTGTACGTTCAAGTGTCCCCTAGCTGTGGAGCCCTTTCTATAAAGAGCTTGGGGTAGAAGCCCAGAATATACCTGGACAAAAGCTACAGGGGGAAGGGACAGGGATCTACTCAACTGCTGACCCCACTGCCATTTGGTGACCCCAAACAGACTGTTGGGGTGCATGTGAAACCCCTGCCCTTGACTGCATAGCTGGGCCTGTCCCCGAGGCTAGGAATCCCTGAGGCCTTCCGCTGATGGGTGCTGGAGCCCAGCTGCACCAGGGCGGGGCTGCACAGGACTCCAGACCGGGAGCAGCGCGGGTGCTGCGGGCTGGGCTCACAGAGGCTGTCTCCCCAGTGCACGGATCCCGATGGGCGGGCTGTGGACCGGGCCCGGGCCTGGTGCGAGATGGTGGGCATCCAGTACTTCAGGTGAGGCGAGGACCCCAGCCAACCCCCCGCCCTCAGCGTGAACCTTCCCTCCCCAGAGGGCTGCTGTGTTCCCTGGGCCCACCCCATCCTAGCCTTTGTCCCCACCCTACCTGGATGACCCCTCCTCCTCGGTCTGGACAGATTGAACCCCCCGCTGGGGACAGACATCATGTTGGATGAGGTCAGTGACGCAGTGCTGGTCAACGTGCTCTGGGAGACCGAGGTCTACATCTACCAGCATCGAGAGCAGTTTCAGAAGCTGGTGCAGCTGCTGCTCTCGCCTTGAGTGCCTGCGGCAAGGCCACCACCTGCGGGCAGAGCCAGGCCGGGCAGCCCCACGCCCAGGGGCGGACTGGACCCCGAGCCCCGCAGCTTCTGCCTGAGGCTGGCCCCGCTCCTACCCACCTTTGGCACCTTCTGTCACGGCAGGCTGCGTGCTCAGAGTCCTCAGCCCTTTCCCTGACTGAGGGACAAATGACTTGACCAGTAGCCCTGCACCCCCTCAGCTGCAACACTACAGTGCCCAGCGCACCCCACAGCCCCCAGGCCTGCAAGGGCCCCCCCCCGGTTCCCAGTGGGCACAGCCCCCTCACCCCACCCTCTCCACAGGGGAAACCCAGGCTCTGGGAGCGGGGCGCCCCATTCGACTTTGCCCCTCTGCACATCCGGCCACCCCAGCCCTGGAGCTGCCCCACCCTGCTCTCAAAGGTCACCCCTGTGAGCTCCCTTAATCTTGCCCGCAGAAGCGTTTGAGTGGGGAGGGGATGGGCGCCCCAAACTGAAATAAATGGTGTGGACTCCAGCCTGCCTGTGCTGTGTGCATCAAGCCCCCAGCCAGCTCTCGGCTGCGACCTGGCCTCTTCCCGTGCCCTGTGGCCCTGGCTGCCGGGGCAGGGCCACCTCCTCTCCTTCAGGCCTCTGCAGAACAGAGGCAGCGGCAGGCCCACCAGGCAGGGGCCCTTGGGGTAGAGGAGAGCCCGTCTGAGAGCTGGGATGGTGTGGAAGGCGGGTGAGCAGTGAGCAGGGCCATGGCCTGTCCTTATCCTCCCAGTCTGTGCCCCTCTCTCTCTGGCATTCAGAGGACCAGGGTGGGCAGGAATGGGTGTGGGGGCCGTGGGCACACAGCGCCCTTCCCCAGGCCTGGGTCTTAGGGGCCCAGGGAAGGGTCGAGGCCTGAGGTCAGCAGTATGTCTACGCCGTGAGTGAGTGTGGCCCCAGGCCTGCTTTAGAGAACCGGGAGGAGGGCATCGAGCGCTCGGGCCCCGAGGAATGGACGGAGCTCTGTAAAGACCAGGTGGCCTGGGAGAGTGGCCCATCCAGCGTGCCCACCGGCCCACACTGAGGGGTAAATAATTGAAGGGCAGGTCACATGAACCTGCCTGCGTCACAGGATGCCTTCCCCACCGGCTCTGGTTACGCCCCAGATCGCGTTGACATCCCTGCTGGTGAATAATTAAGCGGCCACCTCCTCCGAGGCCGCCTCGTCAGCCCACGGCTCCCACTCTGCAGCCTGCCCGCTGCCCGCCGAGCACCAGGCACTGTGGACACTGACCCCAGGCTGCCCAGCCCTGCTCCTGCCGCCTGCCTCCTGCCCAGTGCCTACGTGGCCGCCCCATGGCACCCGAGATGGACCAGTTCTACAGGTCCACCATGGCCATCTACAAGGTGAGTGCGAGGCCAGAGCGTGGAGGTCCCGCCTGCCCGAGAACAGAGGGCCGACAAGGGCCGAGGGCCGCAGGCTCCGGGAGGGCGGGCAGAGCCAGGCGGGGCCGCGCTGCGGGCTCGGGAGTGCGAGTGGCAGGAACAGTCAGCCACACTCTCAGCAGGACCCTACTTCCTGCTCCCACCAGGCAAGATGGGGCCTGGGGCCGGGGTTCAGGGGGCTGTGCCTGAGTCCTGAGGCTGGAGTCCCAAGGTGAAGGCCCAGTGCGGAATGGGGAGCAGGGATTCCCTCTCATTTCTGAGTTCCTGCGTCCGCTTCCTGCGGAGGATTTGCTGCAGTGTCCGTGACATTTATTGAGCACCTCTTGTATGCAGCAGTTTTCATGTAAGCCTCACCTCACCATCCCTGTGAAATAGAAAGTAACTGCTGTTCCACAGATAAGAAAACCAAGACCGCAGAGGTCAAGCAGCTTGTTCAAGGTCACGGGGAGGGAAAGGTGCTGCTGGGATTTGAGTCAAGACCCAATTCCAAGTCCAAGTCCAAGGCCGTCTTCACCACCCAGGGTGCTCGCCGACGGGCCCAGGGTGGCCCACAGTGAGCCAGTCAGAGCCCTGTTCCCCAGGGTCTCTTCTTTGACAAGGGCAAGACCTGCTCCCACCCTGCGGTGGCTGTGTGTCCAGCCCAGAGGCTTGGATGCGGGTCTGGGCAGGCCGTGCCCAGCAGGGGAGAAGGTGTCCTTTGAGGTGTCTCACCTCAGGGGCATCCAGCTCTGCCAGACAGCTGTGCGGGTAGCAGATAGACACAAGGGGACCCTGGCCTGGATCAAGGCCCCAAAAGATGGCCTCCAAGACCCTGCAGCCAAGAGCCAGGGTACCGGGTTCCCCCGGGGTTCAGGGTGGGCACCCAGGATCTGGAGTCTCTCAGAGGAGCTGCTGCCTCTGTCCATTGTTCCTTCTCCTGTCTCCATGCCCGGCCTCCCTTGTCCTTGGGTCCAGAGCATCATGGAGCAGTTTAACCCTGCCCTGGAGAACCTGGTGTATCTGGGCAACAACTACCTCCGGGCCTTCCATGGTGAGTGCCCGGCCCCTCAGCCTTGCCCATCCTACTGTGTCCATGCCTGAGCCCACACCAGACCCAGGGCATCAGCCCCTGTCCTCTCACCCACCTCGTCACTCACTCGTATGCGTCTCCCGTGCCCACACAGCCCCAGCCCCACCCCAACCACACCCACGCCCCAGGGCCCCCACGTGCCCCAGATGATCTTGATTCAGCAGAAGGTGCTGCAGGTCCCGCACAGCTGAGCGTACGCCCTGACACAGGTGCATTGCTGTCACCTGGACACCACCCTCAGAACCTGCCCCAGCCCCAGGGCTGCCTCTGCACCTCGCCTACAGCAGCCCATGCCGGATTCCTCCAGGGCACATACTCTGCACTGTCCCGTGAGACTGGCACCCCTTGGCGAGGGGTGCAGCCACCCTAGATTCCCACACCTTCTGCTACCATCACTAGTCAACACCGAAGCGAGGGCCACTAACCTCTCCCTCCCTGTTAGGGCCTCAGAGTCAAGGCCTGCTTTCCCCGCCTGCTCTCTGTCCCGTTCCTTGTCCCCAGCCCTGTCCCCACTCTCCACGTGTTTGCACGCAGATGCCACACCCCGCCCCGACAGACACGCACGACAGCCAGGGCACCCTCCTCTCGCACACCTGCTCCAGGCCCCACAGTGTCCCCTGTGCACACTTTGCCAAAGCAGGGCCTGCCAGAGGGTGCGGACGGTTGCAGGGGGCCGAGGCTGGACTGTCCCTTCTCTCCCACAGCTCTGTCTGAAGCAGCCGAGGTGTATTTCAGTGCCATCCAGAAAATTGGGGAGCAGGCCCTGCAGAGTTCCACCTCACAGATTCTGGGTGAGGCCCTTACCCTCCACCGGGCCCCTCTCTTGGGTAGGGCAGGGGTCACTCCTCCCAGCTGGCCTCCCACCAGGCCTCCGCTCCCAGGCCTAGGTTTTGCCTTTGCCCACTCTTGGGGTCCAGAGGGGGTTCCTTTGGCACACTCACTCTCCCAGCCATGCCTCACCCCCACCCCAACACAGGCCTGGAGCCAGGCCCCTCCGCCACACTCCCTACAGGGCTGTGCCCAGGCTGGGACATGCCTGGGGATCTCCAAAGCCAGAGGGGAAATTCCCGGACTTCAGTCCTGACATCCAGCCACAGGCCTGGCTTCTGGTGGCAAAGGAGGGGCAGGGTGGCCTCCCCACACTGAAGCTGCTGCTCCCTCCGCCTGCAGGTGAGATCTTAGTGCAGATGTCGGACACCCAGCGGCACCTGAACTCAGACCTGGAGGTGGTGGTGAGTGGCAGTCCCCAGGGACTGGGGTCATTCGGGCCACCAGGCTGCCTGCCAAGGAGATCAAGGGCTCTGCTCTCAGAGTCCCTTCTAGGGTGCACTTCTTCACCCCACCTGGCCTCAGCAGTGCAATAAAACGGCCAGGGCCACGCTGTGCCGGGCAGGCGCCTTCCCTGCGGTCTCTAGCGAGCCTCAAAGGCTGTGGCCCTTCCTACCCCATTTACAGAGGGAGAAACTGAGTCTCACAGACCCAGTCACTGCTTACGATTCCCAAGCGAGGGAGGGAGCTAGGAAGAGAAGGACCATCACCCAGAGAGGGGCATCAGGCCGCAGGCCGTGGTCACCCCCGCCAGCCCTTCCTTCCTCCCTCCGGCCTTCCAGGAGCAGCCACTGTGTCACTCCACGCTGCCACTCCCACAAAACTAAACACGGGCTGCTCTTTGCAGGGATCCAGCCCTGCACCCCCAGTGGAGCCAAGATGGCCTCTGCAGACGCAGCTACTGGGCAGCTGTCCTCTGTCCGCTGAGACCCAGCCCCTCCCCCACTGTGCAGAGCAGCCCTCCCCTCCCCCATGGCGCCTCCCCTGACCCCACCCCCGCAGGTGCAGTCTCCACCCCGCCCCAGCTCCAGCAGCTTCTTCTACCTGTGCTGAGCAGGGCAGTAAGAAAGGGCTCATGGCCAGGGCTCCTGGCTTCAAAGCCCAGCTCTGCCAGTTGCCGCTTGGCGACATTGGACTCTGAGCCTTAGTTTGCAGATAATCAAACTGCCTTGTGGGATTCTTGAGAGGATGGGGTCGATTAATAGGGATGAGCTGTTTGCCTTGGCACCCGAGCAAGCCCTGGGGCCCTGTGAGGATAACTGGAAGTAGACTGACCCGCCTGTCTCAGCTCTTCCCAGCTCTCTGCGAGCTCCGGGGGCTGTGCTCCTCTGGTCTCTGTTGCTCTGGGGCCTAGAGGGCCTGGGCACGGAGCAGGGATGCCCTGTGTGGAAGGAAAGTGAGGTGGGAGAGGGAGCAGGGCTTGAGGAGGAGAGAGGGCTTCTTGGCTGGCAGAGCAGGGGCAGAGGGAGCCAGAGCCCAAGCTGGGTGAGCAGAGGAGGTGAGGTACAGGCTTTGGAAGGTTCCACAGCAAACTTCAAATGAGGTCTGAAGGTCTCTAATTCACAGTTAGGGTGCTTAGAGGGGGACTGTAAAATACTGACCGGTTTGGCATGGGGAAAACAGGCGTGGGGCCTGCACAGGGACTCACGGGCTCTGTGAGGACTCCGGGGTGTGGCACGGAGCCCTGCTGCTTGGGGTTGGTTACGGAGCCTGTGGTGCTTGTGTTCAGTGGCTGTCCACTGCGCTTGTGGCACACCTGGGCTGTGCAGCGACAAGTGTCACCCAGGCCCGCTCTGTAAGGAGAGCTGTGCTGTCCAGGCACCGGCATCTTGGCTGTGACAACTGGTGGGGCCCCCGCCAGCGCTGTACCAGGTAGAAGGTGCCAGGGCCGCCTCCTCCTCCCTGGCTCCTTCGTTCCATAATGGCATTCCAGTGCGTGCCAGGTACTGCCTGTGGTTGGAACTGGGGACACAGCGCAGAAACCCTGCCCTCTGCAGAGGGGGCCGGACAAAACCTACCGGAAGTGAGGCCATGTGCATGTCACATGGCTGATACAAAATAGGCTATGGGGGAAAAGAACAGGGATAGGAATGGTTTGTGTTTGGAGGTGCAATTTTATTTTGTCAGTACTCAGGATGGAGCCCACCCTCTTCGCACTGAGCTACATTCCCAGCCCTTGTTTCATATTTTATTTTATTTTACTTTATTTTATTTTTGAGGCAGGCTCTCGCTGTGTAGTCCAGGCTGGACTTTAACTCACTGTGTAGCCCAGGCTGGCCTCGAACTCAAGTTGATCCTCCCGCCTCAGCCTCCCGAGTGCTGGGATTACAGGTGTACATGAGGATGCTTGGCTATATTTTTAAATTGCAAATTGCAAACTAAACATACAGACAATCTCGGTGAGCTAAGGACTCATCATAAGGCAAACCAGCCGCGAAATCTCCTCCCAGGTCTAGAACTTGCCCAGAATACCCAGGATGCCCCTGTATGGGGTCCTGTCAAAATCACATCCCCTTCCTTCGAAAGTGGCCGCTGGTCTGCGCTGACACTTCCTGTGTTCCTTCACAGCTTGTCATCCGAGTGTACAGCCTGGGACATGAGAGTGTGTTCTCGCCTTTTTAAAAAGAAACCATGTCTTTGGGTTTCTCCTCCTGCTCTCTCTCTGCATCTTTTTTTTTTCCCCCTTGGTACTGGAAATCGAACTCAGGACTTTGCACTTGCCAGGCAGGCAGGTGCTTGTGCTGCTGAGCTATATCTCCAGCCCCCTTTTCCTTCTATCTTAGTTACTTTTCTTGTTGCTGAGACAAAATACCTGATACCCAAAGTTATGGGAGGAAAGGTTTATTTGGCTCACGGTTGTAGAGGTTTCAGTCCATAGTCTGCTGACTCCAAAGCAGCCTGGTGTAGCAGACAGGCATCACAGAGGAGAAACAGTTCATGGTATGGGAAGCAGAAGCCACAGCAGCAACCAGCAAAGCAGCAGAAGCTGCCTTTGTGCTGTATTCTGTTTAAGCTGGAAGCCTCTTGATTGGTGCCACCCACACCCAAGGTAGGGAACCTTTAATCCCACATCACACACCCTAGATCCAGCTGCCTCCCAAAACTCTCACATACGACCTCATCCTTTTAAAGTACAGATGGGGGGACACCGAGACACAAGCCATAACACCTTTCTTTGTCTGCTGAACACCCAGGCATGTTGACCCAGCTTCTGGAAGTTGCTGATCACACACTCCTGAAGCAGCTCCCCCTTTTAGCTATTGTTTATCGTGTCTGTTCACCTTTGTGTTCCTTATAGTTGAGCCTTCATTGCTAAGCCTGTGTTTTCTCTTCAGTTCTCTTCTGACCTCTTCTAATTCTCAGCCACACTGTTTTCTTCCTGTGTCATCTCCTTGTGTCTTTTGAGCCATAGGCGACAGTTTTCTTCATTCTGCTTGTCTTCCGGCGCCTTTGCAGTCCGTGGGAATGCTGTTTTTTTCTTCATAATAACTTTCTATTGGATTTGACTTAAGAGTAGTTGCTCTTTTTTTTAGTGGGAAATCAGTTTTTCTGTGAAATGTTAGTGGGCAGAGAGTCGGGAGAGCCTTTCTGACCTCATAGATCTCTTCCTGTTCCTCTTATCTTGCCGTAAAATGTCGTGGCTTCCTTTTTCCCATCCCTTCTGCCCTTTCTCAGCTCTGGTCCCTCCCAGGCTTCTGCTGGGTTTTCTCTTTCTTCTGTACCTGTGTCCCTGGTTTTGATTTTTTTGTTGTTGTTCTTTTTTGGTTTTAGTCTTGTTTTTTTGAAACAGGATCTCACTGTATAGATCAGGCTGCCCCTGAACTCACTATGTAGCACAGGCTGGCCTTGAACTCATGGCGATCCTCCTGCCTCAGCCCCCTGAATTATGGGCCTGCATCACCACACCCAGTTTAAGTGTTGATTTTAATGTGTTTTTTCCTTTCCCAGTGGTTGCATGATGTAACCACTGTGCTAGATAAGATTCAGGATGAATCAGCTCAGAAAGCCCCGTGTCCTCCTTGTGTCCTCTTCGTCTCTCTCCCTACTCCCAGACGCAGCCCTCTTCTTCCCTCTGTCCTTTGAGATTGATCCACCCACCCGTCCTGGACAGAGCTCTGCACAGTGAGGTCAGATTCCATGCATTCCTTTGGGTCCAGCCCCTGCATGAACTGAGGTCTAGAGGTGAACTTGTGTTGTCGCTCATGCTGGCACTTTACTGCTTGGTATCCATGGTACACACATGTCACAATGTGTGTAGCCATCCCTGCCCTGGTGGTCATCTGAGATGTTTCTTTTTTTTTTTTTTGTCTTTTTGAAACAGGGTCTCACTATGCAGTTCAAGCTGGCCTTGAGCTCACTTTGTAGTCCAGGCTGGTCTTGAACTTGCAACAATCCTCCTGCCTCAGCCTCCAGAGTGCTGGGATTACAGGCATGCACCATGATGCCTGGCGTAATATGAGATGCTTCCAAGTGAAGGCTTTTGTGGGCTTTGTGGAATCAGGCTGCTGAGAACATTCCCTTGGGTTTTGTATGGGGATACCGTCAGATCTATTGGCCAGATCCCATGGGGCGGCACATACGGGTCAGAGTGGTAATATAGGTTTGGCCTTCTGAGAACGGGCCACAGTTCTCTGGCGTTCTTGTGCCTCCCACACCCACGACAGCAGAGTGCAGACTGTGTTGTCTGTGCTTGCCCCAGTTCGGGGTGGCCAGCCTCTCTGACGGTGGTCTCCCAGTGCGGTGGGAGCACTACCTCACTGGGGCTGTGTTTCATACATCGCCAGTGCCCAATGGCTTTAATGGGCTTGTTAGACATTTGTACCTCTTCTTCTGGGAGAGTTGTTTAGTGTTTTGCCTGCTTTTTATTGGGTTATACTTATGATTGACTATGGGTGTTCTTTATGTAGTCCTCCTTCAACTATCTGTATGGTGAATATTTTTTCTAAAGCTTCTCTGTTAACACTGTCATCTTCCATAAACAAAAATTTTATATCTTTTGCAAATAAATTCATACTCATATCCTATCTAAGAGATCTTTACCTGCCCCATGGCCAAAATATTGTCCTGCAATTTCTTCTAGGAACTACACTCTGGGCTTCGCATTTATTTCTGTGATACATCTCACATTTATTTTTGTGTACGGGGTGAGTCAAGTTTCATTTTTCCCTGTGTGGATATTCAGGCTGGCCTTGAACTCCCTATGTAACCCAGGCCGGCCTCAAACTCAGGATGATCCTCCTGCCTCAGCCTCCCAAGTACTGAGATTATAGGCGTGCACCACCATACCTGGGTCCAACCCATTTTATTTTGTTTTGTTTCTTGTCTTTTTTTGAGACAGGATTTCTCTATGCACTTCAGGCTGGCTATGGCCTTGAGCTCACTTTGTAGCCCAGGCTGGCCTAGAAATCACAGTGATCCTCCTGCCTCAGCCTCCTGGAGTGCCACCACACCAGGCTTCCAACCCATTTTAAAAAGACTCCCTTACCTACTGAATGATACGGTGTCTTGGGCGAAAATTGATTTGCCATATATTGTGGGTCTATTTCTGGCCTCTGTGCTCTGTTCTGTTGATATATTTATCTATAATTACACCAGAACTAGCCTGTACCAATGACAGTAGTTAAGTTCGGAAATCAAGTAGTCTTAGAAGTTTGTTCTTTTCTCAACACTGTTTCTGCCTATTTGCATTTCCATGTAAATTACAGAATTCGCTTGTCAGTTTCTTCAAGAAAGCCTGATGGGGTTTTGATACAGGTTGCATTAGTCTGGAAACCAGCGGTCCCCCTGACATTGCCTCTTCAGATCATGACCAGAGTAGATCTCCACACTTATTTATTTTTGTCAGAAATGTTTTGCCATTTTCCACATAGCAGTCTTGCACATCTTGGCATAGATTTTTTCCTCTGTGTTTGATATTTTTTGACGTCATTATGGGTGGCATTGTCAGTTTCACTCTCCAGTTCTCCACTGGAGGTCTGGGCTGGGTGAGCGCACTCAGTGGAGATGACAAGGAAGGGGACGCAAGGCCTGTGCCCTGGGGTGACCACCCCTAGGGGGTCAGGGAGCCCAGGAGCTGGCAAAGGCCAGGAGTGCCCCGGGGGTGGAAGACAGCCAATGGCGGCAAGCTGGAGCCGTGGGGAGAGGGTGTTTCCAGGAGGAGAGAAGCCAGCTGTGTGGACAAGTCAGACGAGTCCTAAGAATCGACATGGATTCAGCAACGGTCACCAGTGACGTCAGCAAACCATTGGCCAAAACTCTTGTTTCGTTTTGTTTTTTCGGTACCAGGGAAGCTCAACTACTGAGCTACATCTCTAGCCCTTTTATTTTTTATTCTGAGACAGGCTTTTGTTAAATTGCCCAGGCTGGCCTCGACCTTGCAATCCTCCTCCCTCAGCCTTCTGAGTAGCTGGGATCATAGGGGTTCAACACCACGCCCGGCCTTGACAGAACATTTTAACCAAAATTCTTGTTGTCAGTGGAGCAACAGCCTGACTGCAGGGGGCTCAGGAGGAGAGGGGTCAAGGAGCTTTCCCTCACGGCCGCCAAGAGGGCTTCCTGGGGGTGGTGGGAGGGCTGCCAGTGTCCCCGTGGTGGAGCTGCCCTCAGTTTCCAGTGCTTCTGCGCGGGAACCATACTGCATGCTGGGAAATTGGCTTGTGCACGACAGGTGGTTTTGCTAGGCCCAAGGAGGGGACAGGGTGCAGGGAATGCCCAGAAAAGGAAAGAGCGCCAACTTGGAGCCCCACTTCTCTGCTGTGCTGCCAGGGGCCTCCGGCGGCTGTGCCACTCCCCTGCCACCAGTGACGGCCCTGCTGGTCCAGTCCTGCTTCCTGCTATGTTGTCTGCAGGTCCATCTGGCCTTAATTAAGGGTCCCAGCATGCCTGGCACTGTGCTTTTAAAACATTCTGTGGCTTCTAGGTACCTGCACTGTCAGTACTTATTGGTGCTCTGGTGACAGAGTGGCCCAGGTGCAGAGATCTGTCCCAACCCTGTCCCCCCAGAAGCCTGTCATTTATGTTGGATGATCGCGCAGGTGAGGATGAACAGGACCACATGGGTGGGGCTGGAGCAGAAGTCCTGGACTGTCTCTGTGGTGGACAGCAGGGCCAAGGGGAGGAGGGACAAGCAAGGACGTGAGATGTAAGGGGGCCACTCTGTGAAGTTCCCGCAGTGCAGGCTCTGGAACTTCCTGTCCGCAGAAGTCGTCCCTGTCCGGCCAGCTGCGGTTTCTGTGACTATGTGTGTTTCTCTTCCACATTTTCCTACCTGTGCACACCTGCGGGACACCTTCTGACACCCGTCTCCCAGCACACTGGCAGCCAGCTCAGGGTGGGCGGGGCTCCCTGGCTGCCAGCTGTTACTAAGGAGTTTGGAAACTGAAATTTCAAAAATGTTGTAGAAGCTAGGCATGGTGGTGCACGCCTGTAATCCCAGCATTTGGGAGGCTGAGGCAGGAGGATCACTGTGAGTTCGAGGCCAGCCTGGACTACAAAGAGAGCTCAAGGCCAGCCTGAGCTGCATAGCGAGACCCTGTCTCCAAAAAGACCAAAAAAAAAACAGTTGTAGAGCACCGATTTTCCCACGCTCTGGGAGGAGATGCCCAACCCTGCATGTTGGGGCAGCACATAGGGACAGAGCTGAGCACACGTGAAGACCCAGCGTGGCAGGAAGGCTCCTGGTGGAAGGGTGCCGGGTGCACCAAAAGGTCCTGAGAGGGGGTGATGGGAGATTAAGAAAAAAACTGGACACATAATAAAAGGAAGGCCGGGACCGGGTAGGACCTGACCTCTCTGATGGAGAGGCAGCAACAGTCCAGCATGGTCTACATCTTTATTTATACACAGTAGAAAAGGGGTAAGCACATGACACAGTCAAAAGTGCAAGGTCTCAGCGTTTTGCTGAGAACACTGGAAGCGAAACATTCTCAGAGCTATCTGTGCTAGTTAGCAGGGAGGAACACCAAGGTCAGACACCTGCTGGACTGGCTTTGCTCTGGTCCCAGCAGCTTGTTCACATGACTCACCTCTGGAGCTCTGTGTTCTCGGGGCTGGCCTTGCTCTAGCCCCGAACGTGTGGTCCATCTACAGCTCAGCTGCTCCCCACATTTCCTGTTAGAGATGAGGAAACAAGCCCAGAGAGGGGCAGCAACTTTTCAAAGTCGCAAAGCAAATTGCGACAGAAGCAGAGCTGGGGTGCAGCTCTTTAGGACCCGAGCCCGGTGGCCTTCCCAGGCATCCCACGTGGCCAGCACCTACTTCTCCCTTGTCGTGGGGACTGCACCCCCGCCATCCAAAGCCTCAGCAGGTCGGAGCCCTTCGCTGGGTCAGGCTCTGGCCATGTGCTGAGGACGCAGAGGATGAGCCTGACAGTAAATCCTGCTCGCTCTGGAAACGAAGGACAGGCCTCTGCCTGGGGGAACAGGGGACTCTCAGCAAAGGCGCAAAGAAGCTCACATCTGAAGACTGGTAGAAAACTCCAGGCTGAGGGAATGGCATAGGTAGAGCATGACTCAGGATAGGACTGAAATAAGAGCCGCAAGGCCGACATACTTCCTCCAAGGGTGGGTTTCGAGGCAGGTGCTCTGCCCGACCGACCGTGTAACGCTCCCTCCACTGTGCTTTCATCACCCCCGTGGCTCTGACAAGTGCACAGGCGCCTGTAATGGAAAGTGTGGGGGTGCTGGGGCCTGGGAACTGAGGGGCCACCCTGGTGACCCCCGTCCTGCATTCCGCCCAGGTGCAGACGTTCCACGGAGACCTGCTGCAGCACATGGAGAAGAACACCAAGCTGGACATGCAGTTCATCAAAGTGAGTCTGGCTCCCAGCCTGCCCTCGCTCACAGGCAGGGTTCCTCCCCACTGGGCAGATGGGCACACCGAGGCCAGCCCTGGGCACCGAGCAGCGCTAGGTTACACACGCTCCTAACTGAGCCCCCTGGTCTCCGAGCGGCACGCTCTAAGCCCCGGAATCTGTCCTGAGCGCGGATCTCTGTGTGTCTCCGCCCTTCCCAGGACAGCCGCCAGCATTACGAGGTCGAGTACCGCCACCGCGCCGCCAGCCTGGAGAAGTGCATGTCCGAGCTGTGGCACATGGAGCGCAAGAGGGACAAGAACGCGCGGGAGATGAAGGTGCGTGGGCCGGGGGCAGGTCTGGGAGAGCCCAGCCCAGCTGTGGGCATCACTGGCCCTCAGGCCCCCCTTCCACAGCCCTCATGCCCTTCCTGGGTCCTGGCCATCCCCAGGCTCCCCTCTCAAAACCTGGGCACCTGTCTCCCCATAAGGCCATCAGCCCTGCTGCTGTGAACATGGAGCAAAGTGTGACCCACCAGCAGCCCTCCTCCTGCAGAACAGAGGGTGCTGCCCCTGGCCGAGCTCGGTCCCTGCTCCCATCCCTGGCCCTGGTCTATGGGACTCGAATCCATGGAGTAACCTGGGTGCCAGGCCCAGGGCTGTGGGTCAGACCCCGGCCTTGCCTGTGAGAAGCACCCAGGCTGGTGCGGGGGAGACCCGGGGCCCTGACCCATAAGGACAAGGACGCCTGTGAGGGCAGTTGGGATGGGCTGGGTGCTGAGGGGAGGCCTCCGGGAGAAAGGACAGGGACAAGGCCCTTACCCGCCACCCCCAGCCAGAGCCTTCTCCCACAGGAGAGCGTGAACCGGCTGCACGCACAGATGCAGGCCTTTGTGTCCGAGAGCCAGCGGGCTGCCGAGCTGGAGGAGAAGCGGCGCTACCGCTTCCTGGCCGAGAAGCACCTGCTGCTGTCCAACACCTTCCTGCAGTTCTTCGGCCGGGTGAGTCGGGCTGCGGATGGCCAGCTGCAGCCTCCTGAGGTGGCTGCACGGGAATTTCCTTCCCTTCCTCCCTTACCTGTGTAGAAGTTTATCTCCCTCCCATCACCCACTTACCTGTTTATTCCTTTCTGCGTTTATTCACATCACTATATGTGCACTTTCGCATGCATGTGTTCCTGTGGACCATTGTTTTTTATTCCTGAATGTGACTGCTCACCACTCACATGCTCATCCATTGCTGGATTCATTCAGTTATTGTTTATTCATTTTATCATTTCATTTAAATCCTCTGTGCTCTTGCTTTGTCCTGACTGCTAGACCAGTCAGTTCTCTCATTTCTCATTGGTTTCTAGTGAATTTTGCTTTCTGTATTTAGGTACCATGTTGTTGGGTGCTTTGGGGTTCTGTTATACCTTCTCTGTAAATATTGTCTTCCACATGCTGAGGGGCTCTCTTAATGGATGCTTTTTAATTCAACTTTGTCTGAAATTAGTATTGTTCTTTCTATTCTTTTTATTTATCCTTTTAAGTTTGTTTTTTTGTTTTTTTGGTTTTTTTTTTTGAGATAGGGTCTCATAATGTAGTTCAGGCTGCCCTTGAATTCACTATGTAGCCCAGGCTAGTCTCCAACTGGTGGCTATCCTCCTGCCTCAGCTTCCTAAGTGCTGAGATTATAGACGTGCACCACCACACCTGGCTTTTTGAAGTATGTTTTCTGTTACTAACATATGGTTTTTGGCCATTTGGACAGTCTTTTCTGTCTTCTAAGTGGGAATTCAGCCCACTGCCATTTCACAACCAACTGATATGCCTGGTTCTGCTGCTCCTAGCTGACTTATTACTTTGTCATTTTTTTCTTTTTCCCCCATTCACATTCCTGCCAATAAGGTTGATTTACTGTGTATTCCTCTTTCCCCCATACTAATTGGGAAATGCTATTCCTCCTCTCTGCTCCTGGGGACTTCACTCTGTAACCTTCACGATCACTTATACATCTGTTACCTTCTCTCCAACTGCCCCGCCCTGCCCAGCAGGCCCAGCACTTTCCTTGAAGCAGTCTGGGATGGGTCTTGGAAGAGCATCACTCTTCCCTTCCTCCACATCTCCACCCCTTGGTTTGGCTGAGACAGCCAGGACTTTGGGGTCCAAACTCTCCCTGGTCATCTCTGCAGTCTGACCTTATGTCTCCAGAACCTTTACCTCATTCAGTCCCCTATATTACCTTGCCTGGTGCCCCACACGGCTTGCCCTGTCCAGCCTGATGGGTGGCAACTGGCTAGAAGGGCTCTGGAGCCCAGGTCCTACCTTGTGGTTCCAGATGCCGTCCCCTGTTCTCCAGCCCTGGTGCTGTGCACGAGGAGCCTGGTGCTGCTCTGGCCCCTGGCTCTTTCTCCATGGCTGCCCAGAGTCATTCTCTAGACCCCTGGGACCCGGGAGCTGGCCTAAGAGCTGCAGTGAGAGCCAAGGTCGGAGCACCCTTGGGTCGTGGAGGCCTCTCCTGCTGGCTCCGTAATGACGACCTTCCCTTCTCTCTCTGCCCACTGAGAAACAAGTGACCTTGTCTCTCACCATGCCCGCTTTGTCCCTGAACCGTCAGGCTACCGACTCCGCAGGTCCGCCCTCTCTTTGAGTTCTTCTGTTCAAGCTCCACTCTTAAAATCTCACCACGTGTGGTCCAAAGACCTCTGTTCCACAGCCAGCTCCGCCAGAGGCCAGGGGAAGTGTGCACTGCCGCTCCTGCCACCCCGAGGTCCTCGCCCTTGACCCCTGCCCCCCTTGAGTCCTCATCTTTCCGCTGCCTCCACGTGTTCTGCTCTTACCCTCAGCTGAGCTGAGCTGTGAGGGCCTTGAGTAGCAGGGCTAGCAAATCGGGATGGGTGAGCGGTGCAGCAATCCCTTCCCCAGTCATGGGCTGCCTTGTCCAAGCATCTGGTTTTGCACATGGCACAGGGAGGGTCCCATCTGTCCCAGGTCTCCCTGTTGCAAACAGCGGCTCCTGTTCAGTCTCAGAGACAGGGATTAACTTTGCCTCTCCAAGTGAAGGACCAGTGCAGATGGGGCTAGTCAGGAAGGCTGTACCAGGTGTGCACTGCACAAGGGCGCCAGGTGAAGAGGAGGAGCTGGGCTTTGCTCTCCAAGTTGAAGGCGCTGGTGCCGTCTGTGTTTCCTGGAACAGGAGACTTTTTCTTTGCACGCAGAGGTCATCCTCTCATGAAGAATGTGTGCCAGACTCTCCACTCACAGGGCACGCCTGGTCCTATGTGACATCAGGGAACGCTATGCGCCAGCTGCAACCCAAGCCCACGGGCTCTGGAGCTCAGGAAACCCAGCAGCCCGCCTGGGCCACATGCAGGACAGACACTCAGTGCTGCCCCGGCCAGGTGGTCCTGGCCTGGCCTGGCCAGGAGCCTCAGCACCATCTTCCTACTATTTCCCCTTAAGGGGATGACTTCGTCCCTTAACTTTCCCAGAGCTATTCATTCATTCACTCATTCATTCATTCTTCTTAGCCGGGGTGACGCGCCAGTTCCCAGCTCTGCTCTGTGTCTGAATGCGAATCCCTCCCACCCAGCCAGTGACTCTGTCCTGGTGCCACAAGCGTGGCCCTGATCCTCCCCCAGCCCTGCCTCTTTCTCCTGCTGTTTCTTTCTATTCATGCTCAGTTTCTGAACTACCAAAGTCTGCAGCAAATTCCAGCAAGGGATTTCATCACCCTGGCTCTCCATGTCTTATCTGAAAGGAAGGGCGTGATTCCTACTCCAGGGTCAAGGCGGATATGGCAGCTGGCACAGGACGGACCTGGCGACACTCAGTCCTGACCCTGCCTGTCCCCTCAGAGAACAAAGCGTCCCTGCACTGAGCTGCCCCGAGGCACAGCCCACAGACCGCTGCCTGATGTGCTCCAGGGCCTCCCCTGCCAGGCCCTGCAAAGTCTGTGTCTGACCGGGGAGGGAGACTTGGCTGGGGCTGACACTGGCCCATTGTGACCAGCACGCCCAGCCCCAGGCTCCGGGCTCAGCCTTCTCACCGCATAGGGACCCTTTAGGCAGGAACACGGAAACACAGTGTTGGGCTATAGAACTTGCCCGCTGTCTCAGCTTCCCATTGCTCTAACAAAGCACCTGGGGCTGGGTGATGTTATAAGGAAGAGGAGTTTGTTTAGCTCCAGTTTTGGAGGCCCAAAGTCCAAGATCAGGATACCCTATCAGCTGGCCTCCAGTGAGGGCCACCATGGGTGTGGAACAGGGTGGCAGAGAAGCAGGAAGGGAAGTAGCTGTGTGCAGAAACTCAGGCCACCTCCCTCATGATGATCACTTTCGCAAAGGCTCATTGAACTCTGAACGAGCTTTACTCCCTCCCCCAGGCGGTGTCACGATGGCCTGATCCCCTTATAATGCTCCACTTTTCCTTCTGTCCTTCTTTCCCTCCCTTTTTTTTTTTTTTTAAATTGTAAGACAGGGTCTTGCTAAGTAACTAAATTGGCTAGGCCGGCCTCAAACTTGCCATCCTCCTGCCTCAGCCTCCCAGAGTGCACCACCACTTCTGGCCAGACTGCACCTCTTAAAGGCCCCAGCACTTCTCAGCATTTCCTTCTGTTTCCTTCCCGTTGTCCTCTATTCCTTTTATTTGCCCATTCGCCAACTGAGGGCATCTGGGTGGCCTCTGCCTTTGGGCATCAGGAATAGATAGTACTGCTCTGGGTGTCCCATGCACCTTCTCAGGGGACATATCCCCCCCCTCCCCCGGCCGGGGCACCTGGAGTGGAGCTGCTGGGTCACCTGGTAACCCTGTGTGCACCTCGAGGCCCTCCTGAGTCTGGACCATTTTCAGTTCCCATCAGGAGTCTGTGAGGCTTCTGATTGCTCCACATCCTGACAGTGTGTCACTGTCTTTCTGGACTTTCTCGCAGCCACCCCAGCAAGGGGAGGCAGAGGCTGTGCCCAGAATTTGCACTTCCCTAGTGGCTTGCGGGCAGCAACCAACCGCCTTTCCCCTTTCCCTGCACTCTGCTCTGCTCCCTCTGCTCCGTGGCTATTTCTCTGCTGTGAAGGACGCTCCTCCCGGCTGTCTCCAGCATTAGGACAGGGGCCCTGCCTTGGCTGCGTCTTAGCGGCAGGGGTCGCCCTGCAGCAGGCAGGACCCCAGGCGTGGGGGTGGAAGAACATGTCACCTGACCCACCTGGGCTTTAGGACACCCAAGAACTAACTCCTAAGACAGCCAAGCATAAATAGTTTCTTATTACCATAGCTGTAAGCTCAACGCACAGTTAGAACAAGGCTTCAAGAATCAGAAGTACCTGGGGACAGGAGGGAGGCTTTCTTGTTCATCTGCAATATTTGGTCCTCTCTTCACCCCGTCTTAGTTAATAGCACGCCTCTCCCCTCACCCACAGTCTCTCTGGGCTGACTCACTTGTGCAAGTTATCTCCAGGACAACTGCCTAGAAATGGAATCACAGAGACCGAGAATATGGGCTTTACCTCAGCGTAGTGGCACACATTTGTCCTCTGAGCACTCGGGAGGCTGAGGCAGGAAGATTGCAAGTTTAATGCTGGCCTGGACAATTTAGCAAGACCCTGTCTCAAAATAAAAAACAGAAAGGGCTTGGGATGCAGCTCAGTGGTTAGAGCACTTCTGAGTTCTTTTTTAAAAATGGAATCTAAGCACTTGGGTTTGCTTGTACCAATTTCCTCTTCCATCAGCAGTGTATGGGATGCCGGGTTCCCAGCCCCTTGACAATGGCGTGTAAGCAAACTTTCTGCTCTTGGCGAATCTGAAAGGTGAACACAGGCTTCAGTGTAGCTTCGCCTTATCCTAGTGTGTAGGTGACACTGACATCACTGTGCTTCCAGGGCCATTGGGTTTTCTTTATGGGGACAGCTCAGAGTCTTCCATTTTCCTTATGTTACTGAGATAAACATGCTGGTGATAAGTTGCAACTATTTTTGGCTGTTTGCCATTTAGTCCTTGACTTTCATGTAAAAAAATATCTTTAGTCAGATATATCAGTCTTTTACAGTTTACGGGTTTTGGCATACTTAGAATAGCTTTTCTGCTGCATAAAATTTTATTTTTTACTTTTAGTTCTTTACACGCCTCCCCTCTCCTCCTTCACCTCCCTCCCTCACATAAATATTTTCAACTTTTTCCTAGTTTTGATTTTGAGTCAGGGGCTCACTGAGTTGCTCAGGTGGGGACTTGGACCCATGACCCTCCCACCTCAGCCTCCCTAATCATCTATGGCTTTCAAGTTCCAGCTTCACACAGTGTTTCTTCCCACCCACTGATTGAACGGCCTGGGCAGGGCTGAGGGAAGCCAGTCCCATCCCGGTGGGGACTCCAGGCTGTGTCACTGGTCCCAGAATCCCTGCGTCTTCCACGGGAAGCTCTCAGTCGGACAAAAGTCCCTTTGAAAGTGTGATACACAGACCTTGACGACCTCGCTTTGTGCACTGCCTCTAAACAGGCGTCCAGAGCCCTCCGGGGCTTGTCTCTGTGCTGCTCTGCCAACCAGTGACTGCGGGAAGCATCCGTCCGCTCCCAAGATGTGAGACTTGGGCCGTTGCCGCTGCCTGGCGGTGCAGTGAGGTTCGCAGCAGCAGGGCCAGGATCCAGGAGAAATCACTGAAAGGTGCTGGCCGTGGGCAGCTCTGTCCAAGACAGGCCACGCCCCTGCCGCCTGGATGCGGGACCTGGAGCCTGGCACTGAGTGCCTCCAACCCGCAGCATCTTCTTCTAGAAGATGCAGACAACAGCACCTGCTGTGGGTACTGCCAAGCTCAGGGAGGCACAGCGGAGCCCTGGGGAGTGCAGGGCAGAGCAAGTGCTTGGGAAAGGGAGCTTTTCTTATCCCTGAGGCGACAGTCTGCAGCTGGTCCTGGGAACAAGATGTTTGCCTGGAAAAGGGACAGGTTTTTATAGTGGAGGGCACTTTTTTTGGTTGTTTGTTTTGTGGTATTGAGTGTTGAACTCAGGGTCTTTGCACTCAGCCACAGGTCCGCCTTTTTATATTTTTTGAGACTGGCTGTCACTAAGTTGCCAAGTTTCCTAGACTGAGCTCAAACTTGTGACCCTCCTGCCTCAGCTTCCCAGAGTGCTGGGATGGCAAACATGGGCCACCACACCCAGCTAAGCACCGTGTTCTGATTACACCTGAGATTCACTCTACAGAGGTGACTGACAACAAAGAGAGGTCAGTGTCACTGAACACTATTCACAGCCATGCCACTCCGGAAGTACTGGGGTTGGTCAAGAGGGTCAGGAGGGGACAGCATGGTGCAGAGCCTGGATGATGGTTTCCCAATCCCCTGGGGGTCCTGGGTACAGCTGGAGTCTCTAGTTGGCTGGTCCCTGGTCCTGGGTGAGTAGGACAGGGGGATTCTGGCTGGGTGTGTGACAGTCAGATGACAGAGATGTGCTCTGCATCGGTTTGTATATGAAGCAGGCTTCCAGTCTCATGTGGGACTGAGGAAAGGGGGGAGTCTCTCCACAATCAGGATGGAAAAGCACCATAAAATATAGGCAAGGAAAACCATGCTTAGAGCCAAGTGTAGCGTGGTGCACACCTGTAATCCCAGCACTCTGAGAGGCTGATGCAGGAGGATCACAAGTTCAAGCCCAGCCTGTCTCACAGTTTAGTGAGACCCCGTCTCAAAACAAACTCCCACAGGAAATAAAAATAAAAATCATGCACATAACAAGTCTAATACTTAAAAGCCCTGCCCCAAGTAGGTATGGACTATGTGGTCAGCTACTGAGCTCCCTGTCTTTGAAACTATTCAAGCGGAGGTGGGCATACTCAAAAAGAGATGCTTCTGTGGGCTGCAGGGATGAAGAAAGATCTTTTAGAAAAATACTCAAACTGGCCGAAACAGAAAAAAGTATAATTACTTTAACCACCTGGGCAGCTGGATTTCAGATCCAGCTAGATCCAAGAGCATAAAAAGATGTCATCAGACATTTGCCATAATCTGTTTAGGTTTTAGCTCCCCACGTTGGCTTCCCTCTGTTTAGCAAACTCTACAGATAGAAGAACGTATCTTTCCAGGGCTCCAGGGTCAGTTCTGGGGCTGGGTTCTTGGGTCACAGTTTGGGGGAAGGTGCCCTAACTGAGCTCACCGGGGCCAGGCCTGGGCTCTCAGCCATCCCTGAAGCTGTATAGCGCCCCAGGACAGCCCTACCCGAACCACGGGACCCAGGGGAGACAGGAAAAGCCCCACAAGGGAAAGTGGGGCGCCTTTGACAAAAGCAGGGCAGAAGTGGGTGCGGGCGGGGTGAGGTGACTTCAAGCGACCCCTCCGCGGGGGTTCCCTCCACTGCAAGGTCCCCTGACCCTGAGCCTGCAGGCCCCGGCCCCGGCTGGTGCCCGCTGACCCCACGTCCCTGCCAGGCCCGGGGGCTGCTGCAGAACCGCGTGCTGCTGTGGAAGGAGCAGGCCGAGGCCAGCCGCGGCCCGTCGCGCGCCCACTCCCCCGGCCTGCTGGGCCCCGTGCTGGGGCCGCCCTACCCCTCGGGCCGCCTGACGCCCACCCGCCTGGACATGGTGAGGCCCTGGCCGCCCCTGCCGCCCTTCGTGCTGCCCTTCGCGCCGCCCTTCGCAGGGCCCTGGCCGCCCCCCACGCTCCCGCTCTACGCCGCGCCCCCAGTGCCGCCCTTCCGCC